ATCCCCCTCCATCTCCGCCTCCTTCTCCTCTTCCTCATCCTCCTCCCTCTCATCCATATCCTCTCTCTCCTCCTCTCCGTCATGGTTGACGAACCAGATGGTTCTGGAGCGGTTTAGGATAGTCATGGCGCAAGAATGACATTGATTCGCGACGTTGAATTCAAAGAATGGTGTTATGGCACGATTCCGGATCGTGAAGACGCAACCGAAGGATGATCCGTGACGGTGCAATCCCAAATAATGCTGTGGCACGCTTCAGGATTTTCAAAACGGTTGTCTCCCAACAGGGCACTTTTCTCAGTGGAGATGAACCCTCGTAGGGTCCTACGATAAGGGAGCTTGGAGGAGGAAAGGTGTATTCCAACATCGTTGATGAGTCTTGGGTTTGCCCTTATCCTCAGCCTCCTCCTCCTCGTCTTCCTCCGTCTCCTCCTCCGTGTCCTCCCACCTCCCGCCAACCATTCATCATTCCCTCCCTCTTTATGTTCTTCCCACTGCAATTCCTGCTCAACACATCATGCCCGCCCCCCACCCTATCATCATCCTCACCTGTCCGGTTTACCTGCTACCATCTCCTATCACTCTCACCATTCCCCTCTCCTCACCCCCGTAAACATACTCATGCTCCTATCCCTCGCCATACTCCTCGTGGCGCCCCTCAAGTATCAAGCTCGTTCGCATCGTCCCCTCGTCATTCGCCTCCTGAGAAGCAGCATCGGCATTCGCACTAACACCATCACTGTTAACCATCAACACATAAGCATCGAAAGTATGACCGTCAAAATCGAAATCCCCTTATTCATCCCCTGCATCATCAGAAGCCTTGTCATCGCCTGCATCATCGCTTCTCCTCCTCCTCTTCAACCCTCCCTCCGAAACAACCCTCCTCCATCCCTCATCCTCCGATCCCCATCCATCCTTCTCTCTTCACCCTTCGCCCGTCAACCTCACCCTGCTATGTGCTCTCCTTCCTTCCTCCTCATCCTCCTCACCACCACCATCATCAATATTCAACAGCATCAGCATCACCATCATGATCATCATCATCATCATCATCATCATCATCATCAGCATCATCATCATCATCATCATCATCATCATCATCATCATCATCATCATCATCATCATCATCATCATCATCATCAGCATCATCATCATCATCATCATCATCATCATCATCATCATCATCATCATCACTATCATCATCATCATCATCATCATCATCATCATCATCCACCTCCTCCTCCTCCGCCTCCTCCCCATCATCATTATCATCATCAGCAGCATCCTCATGATCAGCATCATCATCATCATCACCATCATCACCGTCATCACTGTCACATCATTATCGTTATCGCAATCGACCATCACCATCGCCATCACAATCGCCATCAACATCACCATCACCACCATCATCATCGTCATCAGCATCAGCGTCATCAGTCTCAAAACAAGCAGCCCAATTAGCAGCATCACCATCATCATCGTCATCATCATCATCATCGGCAGCATCATCATCGTCATCATCATCAGCATCTTCATCAGCATCAGCATCAGCATCATAGTCATCGTCATCATCAGAATCGTCGTCGTAATTAGCATCATCAGCATCATCATCATCGGCATCACCACGATTATCAGCAACCGCAGTATCATCAGCATCAACAGCCTCAGTATCAACATCGTCGTCGTCAGCATCATCAGCCTCAGCAGAATCAGCATGGTCATCATCATCATCATCATCATCATCATCATCATCATCATCAGTGTCATCAGTGTCATCATCATCATCATCATCATCATCATCAGTGTCATCATCATCATCATCATCCTCATCATCATCATCATTATTATCATCATCATCATCATCATCATCATCATCAGCATCATCATCATCATCATCATGACCATCATCATCATCATTACCAGCATCGTCATCATCAGCAGCATTCGCATCATCGACAAAAATATTCAACCCCAGCAGCATCATTATCTGAAGCGTCAATATCCGAATCGCCAGCACAACCATCACCGTCATCATCATCATCATCAGCATCATCATCATCATCATCTTCATCATCGTCAGCATCATCACCATCATGATCAACACCGCCGCCATCGCCGTCATCAGCATCATCACCATCATCATCATCATCAGCATCGTCATCATCATCAGCATCGTCATCAACATCTCCAGCATCATCAGGATCGGGTGCGTCAGCATGATCATCCTCATCCTCATTATGACCGTACAGCCATCATCATCAACACCAGCATCATTAGCATCCTCGTCATTATCATCATCCTCACCAGCATCGCCAGAATCATCAGCATCGTGCACAACATCATCAGAGTCAACATCATCAGCAGAAGCACCATCATCACCAACACCACAACTATCATGATCATCATCATCGGCATTATCATCGTCGTCATAATCGTCAACCACAGCGTCCCTCTTCTCTCCTCCCCGCTTCCCTCCTCCGCATCCTCCTCATCCTCATCGTCATGGTCATCATCATGAACATCACCATCGTCATCATAATCATGATCATCATCAACAACGTCATCATCATGATGAGCATCATCCTTATCAGCATCATCACCAACATCATCAAAAAGCATCATCACCAACATCGTCATCATCATCGTAACCATCCGTCATCGTGTTCCTGCAAGCGCCGAAGCAAGTGTAAGTGACGCCTACACACTCTGTGAGTTCGTCCCGTGTTCCCGAACACGACGGCAAGAAAGCGAACGCCTCCTTCTCTCCTCCCCTCCTCCCTAATCATCCCTCCCTCCTCATCCCTCGTCCATCCTCTCTCTCTCTCTCTCTCTTCTTCCTCTTCCCTCCTCCTTCCTGCCTCCTCCCTCCTCTCCGTGAGGAGCGCGTCGCTCGGAGCCAATCCCCCCCCCCCCCCCGCGTGGCCCTCGGGGTGAGAGCCTTCCGCACGACGGCGTGCCAGCTGCTGCCACGCCGGGTCCCACCAACCTCCCTCCTCGGGGACGCGCCGACCCGGGCCAATGCACACGCGGATCCTGCAGGATACACCACGCGAAATGATTAAGAAATTATGGGTTTAGAACTTCCTTAGTCTCAGAACTTGGATAAAAACCCAACAGTTCTATTAAAATCTTAGGAGATACATTGAAACATTAAGAATAATCGAGACTCTGGTCGAAAACTTAAGTTTTCTTAAGCATCGCCTAAGGTGTACTGCAGGATCCTGCGATCCAGCCCGGGTCAGTTCGGCCCTGGCTTCTGGCCAGATCCCGCAAGGTCCGGCCCTCTGGCTGGCCCCCGTGTTCCGGGGAGCAAAAAGTGGCATAGACGTAAAAACTCGGAGGTCCGCGCGGAGTTCTCGGATCGGCGCTGGACCCCCCTCCCTGGCGTGCGGAGCGCGCCAGGGGCGGCGCCTGGAGGCGCCGCCGGGGGGGCCCCAGCGCCGATGCGAGAAATCCGCGCGGACCTCCGAGTGTTTATGTTTATGCCACGTTTTGTTCCTCTGGTGTTGCACTGACCCCCCGTCTCGAGGCTCCCGGCCTCCCTCCTCCGTCCCCAGAAACATCCCCTCGAGGGGGGATCACATCCTCCTCCTCCCGAGGGGGGGGGGGGGGGTCACATCCCCCCTGGAACCCCCTCCCCGCCCCGCCCCCCAGGGCCCCCCCCCCTGGCCAGGGAGGAGGAGGAGGAGGAGGTGGAGGAGCGCCGGCGTCGCGGCTCCTGCGCGTGGGCCTCTGGAGGTCCAGGCCCGCCGTGCCTCGGACGGCCCTTCCCCGGGCGTGCTTCGGTGTCCTCCGCGCGTTCTCTGCAGTATGATCCAAGATGCTCCTGGATGGCCCTTGCTGGAGGAGAATCTATATATATATATATATATATATATGTGTGTACATATATATATACATATATATATATATATATCACACCCCAACAAAAACAGATAGAACAACAAAAAAACGCCCTGCGACAGACCTCCCTCCTTCCTAGCCCCAGAGCCAGAGACCCCTTCCCCTGGACTCGCCATCGCTCGGACGCCCATTCCCCCGTGCATTCTCTTCGATGTCGTGCGTATTTGTTTGTCCCTCGATGATCCAGCATGCTCCTCGATGATAGGGAACCGAACTCTATACACCGACGCTTTTCCCGGCCCCGCACTGGAAATCGCACAGGAACACGGATCCTGGTTTATACGGGATCCTGGTGTATACATTGTTCGCTGTTTCCACAAGAAAACGGAAAAAAGAAGTATACACCACACCACCCCGACGTCGCCCCCGACCCTCAAAACATCCTGGGATTGCAAAACAGCCCGCCACTGCTAATGTAGATGCTCCAGTTTCCGGAATAAGAAGAAGAACCATAAGCACAGTAAGAGCAGCAACAGCCCTGGTAACAATAGCAAAAATAATAACAGCAACAATATGAATAGCAATAACAATAACAATAGCGGTAATGTACATGCTCCAGTTTCCAAGATGATTCTGACCGCTAACGAATGCACATTTGGACGCCCGAAATGGGCACGGAAAGAATGGGTACAACGCCCAACAACAACTGTTGCCCCAGACCAAGCGCGGCCGCCGTTGGGCAGGCGGCCTCCTGTTTTTGAATGGACACAGGCCGCGGCGGCGTGGACAGCGAGTCCTAGTCAAAATGAACAGGTACTGCTGTTGGGCATTGTACCCATTCTTTCCGTACCCATTTCGGGCGTCCAGAGCACACGCCCGAGCGGTGCCAGGTGTTAGGAGGCAACTACTGGGAGGTTTTCGTCGGAAAGATTAAGGAACATTAAGCGCCATTGGGGGGCCGTTACGCAAGAGTGGGCCTTGGACTAAGCAGGATTAAGCCGGATTAAGCGGGATTGAGCGGGCGTAAGCCGGATTAAGCGGGATTAAGCTGGATTAAGCCGGATTTTGAACCAGGGCGAAAACAGAATTTGACCTCCCAGGAGTTGCATCCGAGCAGTTGGACCTCTTCCCGGCGCCGCGGCGGGGGGGGCCTTGGCCTCCAGGAGCCGCTGCTCCGAGGCCTCGACCTCCGCCATCCGCGCGCGGAGCTGGGCGTCCGTGGGGGCCTGGCCCCAGGAGGGGGCAGGAGGGGGAGGAGGACGAGGAGGCAGGAGGGATGGAGGGATGGAAGAGGAGGAGGAGGAGGCGGAGGAGAAGGAGGGAGGAGGAGTAGGGAGGAGGGAGGAGGAGGAGGAGGAGGAGGAGGAGGAGGAGGAGGAGGAGGAGGAGGAGGAGGAGGAGGAGGAGGAGGGGATATGTCGAACCCCATCCCAGGCTTTGGGAGGCTCTCGAACGGACCGAGAAGTTGGGGGCCAACCCTGGGATCTACGGGGGGGGGGCCGTCCATCCACGACAGGGGGGCATCCGAATAGCCCCGTCGTACCCCAGGGATTCCCCGCGCTCGAGCGGCCAAACGTGTCGGGCGGAACCCGGAGACTCGGAGAGAAACATCGCCTGTGAAACCAGATCCAGATCTGATGGGCGCGTTTTCCACCACCACCACCATAAGTTGGAGGGGGGTGGTCCTCCTCCTCCTCCTCCTCCTCCTCCTCCTCCTCTTCCTCCTCCTCCTCCTCCTCCTCCTCCCCCTCCAACTTATGGTGGTGGTGGTGGAAAACAGGCTCATCAAGATCACCCGATCACCCGCCTGGCACAGGCGGCTTCGTCGATGGCGTACTGACGCTCGAGCTCTACCACGCGCACATGAAGCACGAGAACCATTGCAGGCACATCACAGCGCACAACAACCACCACGACATCCACCACAAGCTCTAGAAATGGCAACACCGTAGAGATCAACATCGAAGCAGAGACCACATCCAGCAATGGCAAACCCGGGCAGGGCACCACCTACGCGGCCAACTACGCCTGCGATTGGCGCGGGACTGGACAGGTGGAAGAACGACCAATGGGCGGCACAATGGGCAGCCCAATATCCCGACAGCTACTGGAACAAGGGCGCTGGAAAAAAAAGGAACAAACAGCAAGGGTGAACGCAGCTTCGCAAACCATGCGACGACCACGTCGACGACACCGACAGGCCACAGAATGGGAATCATAACGACAGGAGTGGCAAGGGCAAGCAGCAACCCCCACAAGGAGGAAGAGACCTCGGCCAAGAAGAAGCAACACGAGTCCAACCCGGACTGCAACGCTCTCATCACTGCAGTCATCGACAGCGGCATGCCCGCGCGCAAGGCCTGCGCTGCCAGGAGGCACGACAGGGAAGCGCCCCCGAACAACCCCAAACTCAAAGAAAGTGTATCAAAATCAAGGCCACAAAGCAACGACGGGAAGCCGCAGCCATCATGAAATCAAGAAGGACACTCGCCATCGCTCGGACGTCCGTTCCCTGTGCTTTTTTCGGTTTCGTGCGTGGTTGTTCGCCAAATGATCAAGGATGCTCCTCGATGGTCCTCGCCGAAGGAAAAATGCACACGTCCGAGCGATGCCAAGAGAGAAAGTGGATGCAGATCAAGGTCAAAAAGCAACGACGGGAAGCCGCAGCCATCATGAAATCAAGAAGGACATCAGGCACGATAGGGATGATGCACACATTGACGCAGGCGCCCCGCCGACGACGAAGCGGAACCTGGCCGCAAAGAAGTCCAACCCAAGAAGCCTCCTACAGGGCAGGCGAGTCTACAGAAGGTCAAAAAATTGGCGCACTACTCAAAAACGTAAGAAGAATAACCAGCGCCTCGTCCACGACGTCAAAGCAACAGGAATGAGGTCAAGGAACAGTTCGAACACCTCCACAAGACCAACAATGAGCTTGAAGACGCAAGGGAAGAGGCCGAAGCTGAACGGCAAGAACTGCGACAACACCCACGATGGGTTGAGGCCAATGTTGAGAGCGAGCGGGAAAAGCAGAGGCACACCACCGAGGAGGCAAAGCGCGTCTAAGGTGAAGCTAAAGGAGGAGCTCGCCATTGTCATAACCACCCACGGCCAGATGGCCACACATCACGAGTACGTGCAAGAGCGAGTCACAGCCAAGCTCGGCGTACGATACGGAGGAAGAGCTGGCAAGCATCAAGAAGGCAAACATCGACCTCCAGATAAGTTTGCATCGTAGGTATTGAGAACGGGCTGGAGAAGGCCGAACGATGACTCGAGTGCCAAGAGCAGAACCACAACACCAAGCGGCATGGCATCATCTTCAACTTGCAGAGCAGACAGCCGCCGTCAAAGACGCCTACTACAATATGATGGAAGCAGATAACCACATCCCCGTCATCGAAGCGCAAATAGTCAGCGACTTCAGAGAACAAGGGGAATTCCGAACATCCATGGTGAGTTCCGAAAACATGGTCTGCAAAGCTCACCTGGAGAGGCAAGACCAAACACGATCCATGGAAGCCACCGTCGGCAACATGGAAGAGAAGTACCAGAAGAGAGTCACCGACATTGAGACGCAAGTGCGAGCCAGAGACGCAGACCAAGCACTGTATCATGAACTACAGCTGAGCAGAGTCCTTACTGACAAGAGCGAGCACCAAGAGCACGCGCAACAACATGCCGCTCAAGCCGAAGGTCAACAACAACCTGATGTACAGCGAACGGAGATCGGCTCCGATCAGCAGAGCGAGACCCGCCAACACGAGATCGACATGCAGAAAAGCGGAAGGAGGCAACATGGAGAGAATGGAACGCCATCCACCAGGGCTGGACCTAAACGTTGTCGTTCGTTTTGTGTTCCTGTTGTTGTTCGTTTTGCCCCACATGTTTTCCTGTACCTCCCTGCCAAAAACGGAAGAAAAAACAGAGCCGAAGTCATGCAAACCAACGTTTAGGTCCAGCCCTGCCATCCACCAAAGGCGCACCGAGGCGGCCATCCAAGGGTACGTCTACGCACAGCAAGCAGCAGCTCGGGCACAACAGCGCCTATCACACGTCGAGATGCCAGACCAGCTCGAAATGGCGCTAGCCACCGAAATCCCCAGCGACACCGAAGGGATTACGACATCCCTGCAGACAATGGCGCCAATGCTCACGCAAAACACTTCACAGGGTGCCTCGCAACCTGTTCAAAATCAGAATGGCCAGGCAGCCAGGGATGGCGGCAGTTTGAAAGCAAGTGTAGCCATCCCTTCACAGCATGAACAGCTGAGCGGACAACTACTAGCAGAACAGTGCCACCAGCACCAGCAGGACTACTTCCATCCGAGAACCTCTACGTACACGAAGTACCCATTCATTTACTGGGCGACGTCCAAAGGGAACGAGACGCCGACGTGTCGTTGGGTAGCCAGGCATGCAACACGCCGCAGCCAGCTACACCCACTGCATGGACGCCTGAGTCAATACCGGCAGGGCAACCCGACCGACATCGGGACACCGACGCAGAGACCGACTTGGCATCACCATCTCCACGGCAGGGGCGGAAGGATCCTAACGTCGTGGTCCTGGACGCACCATCACCGCAGATGAAGAGGGAAGACGGCTTGACGTCCACTGAGGAGACGACCCCGCAGGCACCATCCCCACACAGGATCTTCATCGGCACGGCGGGGATGGAGGCATCCCTACCGCCAGCACGGAAGCACGCAGCACCTACTACAAGAAGTTCGAGCGCTAGGAGGGCGAGGAGGGCCGCCAGCGACCCCTGCGAAGCGACGCGAGTCGCCGCGCACCCCACGGACGCGCGATCCAACGACGACGCGGCTCACGCTGCCGATGGCGAGTCTGGAGCACCGAGCACAGAAAGCGCACACCCGCGCCGGTCCACCCCACTGGAAGCGGCACGTGCAGCGGGAGCTCGACGACACGACACCTTCCACAAGAAGCCCAACCCTGAGACTCCAGGACGCCCGCTGATTCTTGGTGGGAACGTCACGCTTTCCATAGCAAAGCCATCGAAACCCAAGAACCCCTGGGCACCCTGGAGGCAAGCGGGGTGTGTTTCTTGGCATGGGCTTCCACTGTAGTGAGCACGCGGCGTCTCACGACCCAACCAATGGTCAAGGAGCAAACGAGCACCGACACTCCCGAAAGAGCACGGAGCTGGACTCAAGAACAACCAGTCCGAGGAGAGGGAGTACGGGATGAGGGACGCCAACTTCAACCTCCAGGACAGCTTTGTACTCAGGCCGCGGGGGCGACTGCAGGACAGAGCTACAGCGTCAATGGCATCCCAGGCTCTACATCGGGAGCAAGTGCAGCGAGCGCACAGCAGGCTGCAACTACTCAGATCAAACTCGGACAAAGACCAACCCTGCTCCATGCGAGAGGGATCCCAGCAAGAAACCCACTCCCGAGGACGGAAAATGACACCCACGGTTCGTTCGACATTCAATGCGACAGAGCAGATCATCGACTTCCGACGACGCACCTCCGGCTTTCTTTACACAGCTAAGCAGTCTGGGATTAAGTGAAAGAGTCAGAAGATCGTCGACTGGGTTGGCTCCCGTAGCTTTTTTCGTTCCTACCAACTACTTCATTGAAGCAGAATTGAATTTAGAGACCACACGCCCCAATCGAATGACATCGATGATGTCAACCCCAGTAGGGTACGCAAACGCCGTATGCAAAAAACTTGTCTAGTTCGGTATGTGCTGAACGGCTATTCCTGCGCATCAAGTCGAAGCCCGCCAAGTTGTGGCGATCGTGGCGAAAAATAGGAAACCTGACGGAACAAAGAAACTAGAACTGACGTTATGATGAATCTGCGCGAAGGACGTGGGGGCCCGAGGGATCCAACACGTGCCGACGCTTCGTTGCACGCGGCCCGAAGCAGCATGAGCTTGAGCAGAGACGAACACGGAAATGGTAGGCGAGCTCGCCGAGCTCGCCGAGCTCTGGACGCATCTGGACTTCGGTCGGGCATGTCCCCTCACGGGCGGATGCTGGACGAAAACAGACAAAAGTCAAAAACTGCTCGAAAATAGTCTCCAGCAAAAAACGGCGGTGGACAAACCTCCCTTTAGTAGACCTCCCCTTAGTGAAAACGGCCTGGGACCGAATCCGCCGGACCTGGACCCGCAAAAATGGAGGCCGGGGTGTTCTGGGAGTCCCCTCGGCCGCACAGGCCGTA